TTCTTGAACAAAAATATATTCCTATATATATATATATGGCAAGAGATTAATATAGTTATGTCGCGATCCCTGTCCGAGAACTCTGATCTCGTGCTCACGCTTTGGTTTCGATTGTCCTCCGTACTCTGTATATAGAAACAGCCGACAAACCGTCCCAAGGTACTGTAATCAACTCTTGAATGGATGGATGTACTTACTTACATACAGCTGTAAGTAAAGGGACCGTTCCGAAGTCGCCCCAACCAGTCATGGAAAATTACAGCCGTCGCTGGTCCCGACCCCGATGGCGGTATCAGGTACGGGGACAATACCGCCACCGAAATTTTTCCATTGCCGTTGCGGCTTCAAACCTCCGTCTGTTTCCATCGCCATCCAACCTTTCTTGATCTGCCCCAGACCGCCAGAAACGCAACCCTTGCCTGCTTTGCGTGTATCTTACCGCGATCGCAGACTTGCTTTTTGTCGCATCTCCTTGCCTTTGTGTCCTGTGTCCGTTTCCTGGGTTCAAAGAACTACCATTCCACCCGCCATTAGCCACCATGGTAAGTCGTCCATGTCTATCTACGATTTGACTGCTTGCTTTTCCTCAACGCCCTTTGGATCCAGCTCACTGACGGACTCCCCCGTTTCTATCAGGCCCACCGTCTCGTTTCCCAGGTCGTTGTTACGGGCGCCCGAGTCTTCGGTCGCGCCTTTGCTGAGGCCTACAAGCAGGCTTCCGCTACCGGCAAGTACAAAGCAGTCCAAGGCAAGGGTGGAAGCAGCTTCTCCTCATCCGGTTTGACCCTCGATGAGGCTTGCAAAATTCTCAATGTCAAGCCTCCCCAGGGTGGTGAGACCAACTTGGAACATGTGATGGAACGGTTCAAGAAGCTATTCGATTTGAACGACCCACAGAAGGGAGGCAGTTTCTACCTTCAGAGCAAGATTCTTCGTGCGCGGGAAAGGATAGAGATGGAACTCCGCCAGGCTGAACAGAAGGCTGCCCAAGAGAAAGAATTACGCGAAGGCTGGAAGCCCAAGGTTTACAAGGATTAAGGATTGACCGATGAATCCTGGGCGCTGGAGTCCGTCGAGATGGAATACTTCGCGACTGCTTTCAAGGACGCCTTCCAAATCTCGGGTCGACTAAAACGAACGCCCTCCACGGTCGAGGCGACCGTATCGAGCATATACGAGAGACCGAAAGAAAACCTATAAACTCCATCGACTTATTCCATATTCCCTCTCGGTTTTTGCAGCATAGCATGGCGTTTTGGTGATTCCAACATCTGGGTTGGAGAGAGTTCTAGATTTGTTTTCTAATTCCCCCGTTCTTTATACTCCAGGTCAGATAACAGTGGAGGAGGACATTAGAGACGGAATCGGAGGTGGTTGAATCCGCATACCTACGAAGCCGAACTCTGTCATCCTATGCATCCCTGCCTATCTCATTCGGATTATATCCTCTTGTGTATACTATTTGTTGGAAGGCCTGGGGCTCTAGATGGATCGGATTCTGATGAGGACAGTTACGGGATCGGGACCCCATCTCCTGTACTCGCCATATCTATCTATTTGTCTTTGATCCTCCATGTTGCTCCTTTTGATTATGACCTCTACTCCACTCTTGTGTTCTCGAGACAGCGTTGTCTCATGTACTTATAAGGAACCATTCTATGCCCTCAGTCTGGAGGCGACGATGAAAGTGTGTATAAATGCAACCGCCATGTATTCAATCGACGTTGTGAACCACCTCTTGAGAATAAAAGAGTCAAGTCTCCTCGCAGGAAGACCGTTGAGCTTACATAAGACGTTAGAGTTCGAGGGGCAAAAAAGGGACAAGAAGAAAAAGCAAAAGAAAAGGTGAAAGTCAATCCCGCCGAACGTTGATCACCGCCTTGAGCCGAGAGAATCAGGAACACCCGAGATAGCCATCCTAACCACCGAAGCCACGCAAACCAGACAGCACCGCTCTCATTTGGTGGGGGTCTGTACCCCGTGTAATTTTCTGGGGTCTTCCAAGCTGCAGCCCCTCCCCTTTGTGACAATACATCTCCGAGAGCCCATGGGGTTTCAGCTATGGCGCCATCCCGAGCGGAGGTTCCGCGCCGATGGTTAGAAATCCAATAAAAAAGTCGGGCCACTGTCTAGACTTCCGATCGCTTATCAACGCCTATTGCCCCTCCTTTAACCTCCCCTCTCTCGCTCGGTTCTACATACAGTCGATGTTTACGGAGTAGTTCACCCTTGCTCAACTCCGTTTGAGTTCCTCGCCGAACTTTTCTTTGACTGCGACAATGGGCCGCCCCTCAGTTCCGCTGTCGGCGAATTTGCCGCCACTGGTCATGGGCACTGCGACATTCAACTCGCAGTACAACCCTGATCCCTACGCCCTCCCGACTACAGAATTGGTCCATCGTGCTCTCACGAGTGGAGTCCGTGCTTTCGACACATCGCCCTACTACGGCCCCGCGGAGGAACTCCTCGGCCGAGCGCTGGCCACCGATTTCGTCCAGTCTAACTTCCCCCGCTATACATACCGCTTGCTCACAAAAGTCGGTCGAGTCGCGTCCTCTTCCTTCGACTACTCCCCGGAATGGGTGCGCTATAGCGTTCAGCGCAGTCTTCGTCGTCTCCACACCGACTACCTCGACGTAGTCTACTGCCATGATGTCGAATTTGTCTCGCCACAAGAGGTGCTGGAGGCTGTCCGGGAACTGCGCCGCATCCGTGACACAGAGGGGACCATTCACTACGTGGGTATATCAGGATACCCCGTTGATGTACTGAGCGATCTCGCAGAACTGGTCCTACGGGAGACGGGCGAACCGCTCGACATCGTTATGTCTTATGCCAATTTCACTCTGCAAAACACCCGGCTGCTCACTGAAGCTCTGCCCCGTCTCGTGGCTGCCGGTGTCGACGTGGTTCCCAACGCTTCCCCGCTGGGAATGGGTCTGTTGCGTCGCTCAGGTGTACCAATTGGTAGTATGGGAGACTTCCACCCCGCCCCGAACGGGTTGAGAAGCGCAATTCACCGCGCTGCGGAATGGGCCGATACTCAGGGCGAGAAGATCGAGGTGATTGCCATCCGGTTTGCACTCGAGTCGTGGCTCCGCGAGGGCGCTAAGGCAGGTGCTCTGGGGCCGCCTCTGGCTCGGTCTGCGGACGCAGATCCGGGCTTTCTCTCTGTTGTGAACTTGGGAACCGGCGAGCGACTCGGCGTCAGTGTGATGGGCGTGAGCAACTTGGACGAACTGCACGAGACGCTCCGAGTTTGGCACAGTATCATCGAGGGTCTGGAGAACAAAGACGACGACGAAGGCACCGAAACCGGCAATACCCAATCCAGACCGGCCGCCGTCCCTTCAGCTCTCCAAGCTCCTACAATCCTCACCCCCTCAGAGGGGATCATCACCGACCGCGCGTGGTCAGACTCCCGTCGTCACCGCATCATATCCCTTGCCCAGGAAATCCAGGCGATCCTCGGCTCCGAATGGGTGGATTTTGTCTGGCCAAGTCCTGGAACGGATTTCGTCAACACTTTGTCGGCCGAGCATCTCGCCTTGAAAAAGGAATTGGCTGGACTCACTTCCGCAGGGCAGGAAACGGCAGCTCCTGCTACCAGGGATGGTCCGACAATGATCACTCCACCCTTGGATGCGGTAGATACGAAGATACCCGTCGATGCAGCCCCTTCGGATGTTGCGTTGTAAATATGGATTGTAAATGTTTTGCTCCAATATAGACCGGGGAAGGTGACTTTTTGTTTGTTTCTCCTTCCCCATTGATGATTGAAAAGAATTATCCTTATGACTATGTGGCCTTTATGAGTGATCTGTTTTGCCAAATCAAAATAGACTTAGCCACGACATGAAGTACACGCCCTGAATCTTCTAAATCTAAATATATATCTTCTGGAAGCAATTCTAAGCATAGAGAAAAAAAGAAAGTATGATAAACAAAAAAAAAAAAAAAATTGCAAAAAAGAACCAACACTTTATTTTTACTTGTGGGATAGAAGTATAAATTAATATACACACACAGATATATATATATTGATAAACCTTACCTCATTGAGATACCGACTCCAAACCGAATCATCCTCTCCAAGCAATCGCATATAGCGCTTCCTTGATGAGAAGGAGGTGGAAAGGAAAAGAACAGCGACAGGAAAACCTGCCATCACTGTACCAAATTGGATTGATTTTTACTATCAATTTCTGATTCTGGGTCTGTTTTCATCTACTGCCTGCCAAGGCAGGAATGAGCAAGCTTGGTCTTCTGGAGAATTACCTGAATCCGAAACGCTTGCAGCGGGTGACACGGACCATGGACCTGCGAGACAGTTAGCTGGGGTTTAGAAAGAGTCTACATGAGTAGTGAAGGGGCGCCAGGTATGGATAGGAGAGATAACCAACCGGTCTTTACGCAAGAAATGAGCTTTGGAGGGACCTTTCGTCATCGTCATGACCGTGGAAAGTTAGGAAACTGAAGATAGACAAGGCGATGCTGCAGCGCTGTCAGAAGCTTAGAATTGCTCAGTAATGATAACAAAAACGGTCCACCCAACGAATCTCACACGCTCATGATAATGGGTATCTGACGTTAAAAGCAATACGCATGATAAAACGTGAACAGAGAAGTGATCCTATATGAATAGGACGGAAACGGTCCTGGACATATATGCGCCCAGAGAAGAAAGTATTTGTACATAACTCGACACTCCACGAATGCCATTGGTCTCGGCTCACTACTTCATTTCTTTCTCGCGGGTGGCGAGATCTTTGTCCATGTCAGACTGGCTTTTATAGCCGCCGACAATCAAGGCTTGTTCATTGGTGATAGAATCGGGAACGGAAGTCAAGTCGGGCCGCAATCGCTTCAGACGCGCGGCACGTTCCCGCGAGGCTTGCTGTTTCCTTTGTAGCTTGGTTAACTTCTCCTTGGGCTCCTGGGAGGGAGGTGGAGAGTTGAGCGGCAATGGTGGAGGAGGAGCCGAATCCGCCGGTGGAGGGCTTTGAGGAGGTGGAGGAGGCGAGGGTGGAGCTTGATACTGAGCGAATCTGGGGTGTGTCTGGAAGACTTGGCGCAGCTGCCATCTTTGCTCGGTGTATTCATCATAGTTTGCTGCGATAATGGATTCTAAAATGCTGTTTTGTTGGTCTCCTGCCATAGCCATCGAAACCATGCGGCTTTTCAAAAGGCGATACGCATCCCTAAATGATTTGAAAACCAAAGCTATTTCGCGTGTTCCTCCGGAAACATCGTTGTCGGCGTTATTTGGATCCTCGATCGAGAGGCGCGCATCCTTGTTGTCCCGGTAGACTTTGTACACTCTCTGTCAAAGAGAAGTCAGCCATGAAACGTTCTTACAATGGAACGTTTAGGACTCTTGCTTACCTTGTTGAAATAGCCTGGCGGATCCATCCGTATACCAACCGTTTCATAGTCAAAGTCATGACCATAAAATTCGAAGAAATCCATGAGGACACTGCCTAGATTTTGCGACGTAGGGCCATGTGGAAGGTGCTGTAGAAGGCTTGTCACAAGACAGGTGATAGAGAATCCTCCCAAGCCGCCACAAGGGACTTCGTTCAGCCCTCGAAGCAACAAAAATTGTTTAATCACTGAAACAATAACGGGCATGGCCGGATATTCAAACTTCCATTGCTGAAAAGTGTTGTTGGCGACCAGTCCGCTATCGTTGTCGAACGATAAGTCCACTCTGAGGCCAGTCATTTTATCCACAAACTTCAGGATGGGAACTCGAGCATGCGCGATTGTCTCTATTGAACCGGGTACAGCGATGTCTAAATTCCGGAGGAATGCAGAGAAGGCGTAAATCTGCCCCTTTCGTTCACCAAACGTTTTGATACCATGACGCATGAAGTTGGAGGAAAGCAGAACTAGATCTATATCGGCAGTTGGAAGGTATAACCCTGAGGCGAACGAACCAAATGCACGAAGCTGCACGCCATAGTATCTGCTTTGAAAGGCAGTCTGGAGTCGTTCAATCAAGTCCGCTCGGACAATCTGTTCGTATTGCACTGGTTTCACCCAATGATAAAAGGACAGAATTTCGTTGTGCAGCCTGTGCTAGTTTGTTAGGATGCGACTGATATATTGGGGTAGAGTATGCTGGTTAGGACCGACCTTGTACCCAAGTGCAATGTAGGCGTCATATGGTTGAACCAAGGCGCGCCAGTCTCCGACGGGCGCACTCTCCACTCGTCAATGATTGAGCCATCCGAGTAATACTTATTCAGAGGCTTGCCCGTCTTCTTTGAAACACCCTTTAATTCATCGTCATGTGTTCTCTTCCGGCTTCCAATCGCGGAATCTCTTCCTTGCATTTGGCTCCTTGGGCCCATGGGCGCGTCCTGCGGAGGCTGGTATTTGCTTTCTTCCTCGTCCACCAGGCCCCCTAGCGAAATGAAGTCTTCGTTGTCTGCTACTGCATCCGTTTTCGCTGGTTGCGCGCTCGCAGCTAGCCGAGCCTTCCGGATCAGCTTGACCACGTCCACTCTCTTTGACTGAGTTTCATCTGGTGGCGGTAGAACTGTATATGGATCTGGGTTAGACCACTTGGGCGCGGGGGTGGTGTGGGCGCTGAGGCAGGGGTGTTGCAGTTCGACTCGAGAGCGCGTTTCTTGCGAGGACGCGACTCGTCGTCATTCTCATCGGAGGACACGTCCATGTCAGCTTCCTCACTATCGCTGAGGCTCTCCAGAGGCGCAAACTTCAGTGCAGGTTTATCATCGCCATTTTCCGGGGCAACCAAAAGCTCTGGCGTAGTTTCTCTTTTCGATCGGAGGAGCGGCCGCTCGGACGTGGGGGGTCGCGAATAGCGAAATGTGAATTCAGGCTTGGGTTGGTGATTCTGTGACCGCCGGTCATTGCCGCGGAACTGGAATGGTGGTGGCATGACAATGGAGCCCCTGTGTAATGGGTGTTGCGAATAAAAAGGACGGAAATGAAAAGGCGACACGGTCAATGTGAGGAAGACGGCTAGTTGCAGCGTCACGAAATCAGTTACGCGGAACTTTTTTACGTTTTTTTTTTTTTGTT